ATGTGGCCAAGGTACTTTTAGTTTATTTTAGAATATGATTGTTAAAGATTTATACCCTGTATTTGCTCTGGGAATTCAGGGGGGGGGGAGGTTGGGGGAGGAGATGGGCTCGGGTGGGGAGGGTGGTGGAAGGAGGTAAATATTTGTAAAACCTTTTTTAAAATTTTCAATAAAAAAAAATAAAAAAAGTTGTTGGTCTAGAAACCAAGTGACTTTAAGTTCTAATCCCACTGTAGGAATGAAAGATGGAAAGTTGAAGTTACTTATAAAATATTAAAGGCAAGATAAAAAACAAATAAACATTCCACTAGGGGTATCAGTGAGATTGCATATCCTTAGGAGCAAGGTCAAAAGAAGGTAAAAACCCTTGCCTTTTTTGCTGAGAAACATGCGAATATCTGCTAGTCAATCTAGAGATCTAGGCGTTCTGATGTGCTGTCAGAGGTCAAGTGCCAAGACATAGGGAGAACAGCTATGAGAATCCCCCATAGCTGGGGATAGCTGCTACTGAGCATGGCAGAGTGCAAGCAACTTACTGGTTTTGCTTGTAGGAAGATAGCAGGAAAGTTGCAAATGGCAATTGTCACCTTGGGACCAGTCATAAGTACCACTCATTCAGCACTGCTGTAATTCCAAATAGTTGCTGAAGAAGTGGTCATTAAATGGGGATTTTCTATAATTGTAGATTTCGTAAGAACTAACATACGATAACCTAAAATAAAACAGACACTACACTGAAAAGAAGTGCAATAAAGCAACAATATGCATACCATCCAAAAATTAAGACTGAGTAAAATTGAGACTGAATTTGAATAAAATTGAGATTTTATTGTCCGATTTTCTTCCAAAGCAAGATTTTCCTTGCTTCCAAAGTAAGGGAAAAACTTGTTAGAAAACAACAAAATAAAATCAGAACCTTTACACCAATTCTTCTCTATTCATTGCATCTAGAAGTAGCTTTGTGTGTTTGATTGCTTCCTGATACTCATAAAAATTGCCTATTACAACTTGGGAAATGTTCACAGTACATTCTGAACAGCCACTACTATTCAAGTGTAGCTTCCAAATATATGCTAATGAATTTATCCAGCTATCTAAAACTATCAAGGTTGTTGACAGACTAGTTAATGAAATATTAATACTTGGAAAAAATTCCCTTACATCAGTCAAGGGCAAGAGGTTATTTCTGATATTATGCTGCCTCTTGGTGGTTGAGAGATTATTTTTTATTAATTTAGGGACAATAAGTTTTTAGAATTTTTGGAGTAGGAAGGAAGCATTTCTCATTATAAATACTTCGAACAACTGCAGATATGTGTTTGTGTCTTAGTGCATTTCAACAGCTTTTATTCTATTGTGTGTATTTTTTTTAAGTTAGAGTGTTCAACTTTTTTTTTCATAAAGTGATAGTAGCCGGGGCTATAGGAACAAGACAGGCAAATATCAGTAAGACTAATGTTTTATTTATCATTTGACTGGCTATACAGCAAATGTACTCATTTTGAAATCTATGGCTTTCATCCAAAACTCACTGGAAGAGCACCAGATCCTTTTGATCCGGTGTGGGTTTGGGGAATGTTAAGATTGGGGGTACAACATATTCAAATTGCTCTGTGGTTCAGCGGGTGGTATGTACTTCAGTCATAGCCTTCAAGGTTTAAAAAAGACCAATATGCATATTAAATTTTAATATTTTTCTTTATGATTCTTTGCCAAGAAGAAATGAGCTTCCTATCATTATTTCATTTCTCACCAATTAATCTGCTCTTGCCTAAAAAAAATCCCCTCTCGATTAATCATTACTCCCACAATTCATGGGATCATTATCAGCAGGTATACTTACAATAGTGGTTATGAGCAGAGGTGGGTTTCAATTTTTTTACTACCATTTCATGGGTGTGGCTAGATGGAGGTATGTGACTGAGTTGGCATGGCCAACGTGATGTCACTCATGCACACTCAGTCACATGACCCCCTCACCAAGCCATTCCCACTGAAACAGTGACAAAATGTTTTGACAGGTTGGGTGGGCTCCAGCCTCTCCAGAGCTAAAGGAGTTCCTGAAAAGTATCCAGTTTTTTTGTCCTCCCTGACCTCTATGAACACTGTGCAGGCTTCAGCAGGGCTGCTAGAAAGCAAAAATGCCCCTGTTTTTGCAAAAAATAGGTGGAAAATTGGCAGTTTTTGCAAAAATGGAGGCATTTTTCCCTTCCAGCAGCCCCGCTGAAGCATGTGCTTCTGGAGGCTGGGGGAAGGCAAAAACAACTCCGTTTTGTGAAAAACACCCCATCTCTGTGACCTCTCTGGGACTGACATGCACACACCATTAAAAAAAGGGGAAAATCACTTTTTTCAATGAAGATTGTTCTGTACATGTAAGAACAGAAAATAAATATGGTGGCACCCAGGATAGAATCGGTACGATCACATGTCCAGCCAAGTTATTACCTGTTTGGCCAAACTGGTCTGAATCAGTAGGAACCCATCACTGGTTATGGGATTTCTTATGAATGTCTATGGGGTTTCCTTGAAGGAAAGTCCTCACATTTGACAATTTAAGGCAATCTTTTAATTTTAATCTATGAAGCCACAATTAAAAATAAAAACAGAGA